CCAGCTGATCCACATTCTTCTTCAGTTCAGCCATCCCTTTGTTCATCTTCTCAATATATTTGTCTTGAGCCTCAATCTTGTCTTCGCAGATCTTCCTTTTACGCTCTTCGAAGACAAGTCTCGTGCTCAACGTATCTCTATCAGTTTGGAGTTCGGTTATTGATGGCAAAACTTCATCCAGTCTCCTCTGCATCTCTTTATTCTTCTTTTACAGCTCTCCCTTCTCTTTTAGCAGCTCCTCACACTGCCTCTGCAAGCTGGCACGATCTCTCACGCTCTCCGCATACTCCTACGCTAAAGCGTTTACCCAGCTCGCACTCTGCAACGCAAGCAGAAGTCAGAACTCAAACGCAGAAGTCAAAAAATCAAAAATAAAGTATGAATACTCTGTAATTTCTTTACATACCTTCAGGGAGTGCCTCACAACGCGAGCCCCTAGTTGGCTCATTGCCTCATCCCTCGCTTGCCTTCTATCCACCTCCGGAAGAGTGGCATTCAGGAACTGCTTCGCCCCAGTGATGTTGGTTGCATCGAACAAGCTCTTCTGGAACAAAGGTGGAGGGATGAGCTCCTTGCCTTTGCTAGGGCCTCGCACCTCGGTCTCCTCCCTCTCCCTGACTTCAGAATCAACTTCAGGAGGAGAAGGCCGAGGCACGAACTCAACCGCCTCATCCCTCTTAACTTCTGGCTCTGCCACCTTCCTCTTCTTCCTTTAGAGTGGCGCCACCTCCTCACTCACTTCCTCACTGCTTCTCCTCATAGGCTCTGGCCTTTACTGCATCTCCAGAGCTCGGGCAGAAGTGTTGGACAGCCGCTCCCTCTCTGTCGCCCCCTTTTCTGCTGCAATCGAAGTCTTTGACTTCTTCCTTGGCTTCTTTGGGATAGCCAGCCCCCCAGCAGCGTTCAGAAAGCCACCCATCTCAGCTGCAAAACAAACACAAATGTCAAAACACACCAACTGAAATCTTAACTAAATTCCACAAAACAAAAATAAACAAACCTTCGCTCAATAAGCTTGGCCCATAGAGCTTGGCAGCCTTTATCGCCTCTGTGCTGGTGAGGTACATGATATCCACTAACTCCCCTTCTTCCCTCATCAGCTTCCCTACTTCTTCCACTGCATCCTCATTCAACTTATAATTGTTCTGCTTGGTTTTCTTAACTTTCCAAGCAGACAATTGTTCTACTTCGGCGTCCCTCCTACTCCACTCGGTGTCATCCACAAAAAAGAATTTTTCTTTCCATCTTTTAATGGATGATGGTCCAGGAGTGAATAAACTCTTATTCTCTTAGTTGGACGACCGAGGGCCGAAGTAGTACCACCCCTACTCACCTTTACCCCCAGCCCTTATTATAAAGAAATGCTTAAACATATTTACGGTGGGGACCCCAACCCCCCGAGCTCAGCAGTATACTATAAAGCCTATTATTACTCTTATGGCATTTGGGGTTAATTGGGTTATTCATATACTATAATCTAATAATAACTCAACCAGTAATTCTGGAATGGGAAACCTAAGCCCTGCAGCCAAATAATGGACATACATGGGCATCCAATGGTCTCGGGGTGCTGAGCATGCTCTCTCATTCACCCCGGTAGGCCTAATCAACACATGGTGAGGAATGTTACAGTTATTTACTAGCCCCCTAAGGCTGCTCCTACTACTCAATTCACTCACATACCCCCTCACCTCAGACACTATGTCTAATTCTAGGTCATAACACCTACCCACATTACCCTCAATCTCCATTATATCAGGGTTAACTACTGCAATTTGCGCGGTTCGGAGAGCTGATTGCTTGTTTTTATATCAGGGGGCTATATGCTAAAATGGGATAAATTTAAGGACTTGTGAAATGGTTTTGCCGAGGACAGAGATTTCTTAATCATGCTCAGCCCATTCTGCTGTGTTGTGTCCAGTCCCGATGGAGGTAGAGCAAGGAGTAGACCCAAGGCCCACCACAACCCACATGAAAGGGTAAAATCAATTGGCCCCATAAGTGTCTCCTTTTGTTTTTTCTTTAACACCTAAGGTTAATTTCTTTTTTTACAAAGTGCTTTAAACTCTTAATTTTAACTATAAATTAAAAAATTTATTATTAATTTATCTAAGTTTTTGTTAGTTTGTCTCTTGAAATAGGAGGTTGGAAGCAATTTATATAAAATATAACAACTACTTTTTTATGTACAAATTAAAAATTGAATAACTAAAAAGATGAATAACTCTACCAAAGTATACCACCAAAGCATGAGAGGATGAAGAATTATTTTTACATATCCTTACTTCACCTTTCCATTTTATAAAATATATATATGTATATATGTATATATATTAACTGTATCATTGTAATGACAAGTTGCCAAATTTGGGAAAAGCCCCCACAAAAGTCCTTTGTCAATGCTTCTTTTGGGTATATATTATTTAATCTACCAAAACCGAAATTAGAAATTAATAATCCCCACGTTGAATTAGGTCTTGATACCATTTTGGCAGTTCCAGCTAATGTCTCTCTTCTTACTTTATTCTAATGTTTATTATGTTATTCCTATGAAGGAAGAAAGATTTGCTTTTCATTCACTATTAATATTTGATTAAGTTGGTTCATAAATATATTTTGACTGTTTTAAAAAAAATAGAGTCACATAAAAATAATTTTATAGTATATTTGGTTCAATGAAACTGAAAAAAAGGGAAAAAAAATTATTCAATAGACATCTTATACTTTGTTTGATAATGTTTTACACATTATATATTTTTTAAATAATAAAGGATAAAAAATATTAACTGTTATAATTATAATCTAATATAACACTAACAAACAAAACTTTAATTTAATTAAACAATTAAACAAAAAAAATTTTCTCCTTCCTCCCCTATATATGTTCCCTTCAAATTAAACATTTAATGTAACCTACGCAAGATAACTCGAGATGACATACAATTTGATCACAGCAAAAGTAATCCTTGATTTAGGACAATTAAACTCCACTTTTTCATCACGAAAGCAATTTTATTTGGAAGCTTTGACCATAATTGACTACAAACAAAAAATAATCATCTTAAACTTTATTTTTTGGAGAATTTGAGAGGTAAGTTAAAAGTATATTTATTACAATTTTTTACAACTAATTTGTATTAAAAATAAAAAATAACTTTAATTTTATCAATTGTTTAATTAAAAATATGCACATGACCTTAATAATAAAAATAAAATCAACCTTATAATTTTTTTATAAAATTTAAATATAAAAAAATATAATTAATACATTATTAATCTATATATATTACAAGAATATAGAATATTAAACCAACCCTACTTTTTATTACTTAACTTTGATTTTTTTCTAACATATGTAATTAGGGACATGCATGGGATAGGAGAAAAAGGGCACAAGGGGACCTGAAACCCTGGTGGGGTGGGTGGAGGGTCTACTTCACTCTATTACTTTGGTTCGCATCTTAGGCTTTCAAGTTTCAAATTGCATTAACTAATTTCACCCAAAATAACAAAACTTGTATTAACTAATCTTAACAAAACACTGACATGTCAGAAAAATAACTTTAATTAAAAACAGTACACCTAGTCTTTTTTTGGCCTTAACAGCACACTTATAATTTAATCCTGAGATATATTAAATTCATTCTCTACTTTTGTTCTCTTCTTCGTCAGTTTGTCCTCCTTCACTAACTGTCGATTCTTGTTGTGCATGATTCTTCTTGACCTTTGCCTCCTCATTTTCTCTCTCCTTCACCTGAAGAACTTGGATTAGGTCATTAAGCAGGGCGTCGAGATCGTCATCGTTTCTCATTAACTGCTCCGCCACCTCCGCTGGGGTCAACTCCGTCGTCCTGATTGCCTCCTCAATTTCTCCGAAGAGCTCGTGGTCTTTTATTCCGATGTAATTGGCTGCCAGAACTCTAAATCCACATGGAGTGCAATAGGACATGTGGACGTTCACGTCCATCCGCCCTTGACGCAGCAGAGCCGGGTCCAGTTGTTTCTTTGTGGTTGGTGGTGAAGATGATGATCCTCTCGTCCCCACATGCAGCTCAACCGCAGTTCGTCTATGAAATTCAACAATCCTGATAGGGTCACCTGTAGCATTATGTAGCAAGATGACATTACTGTAGACCATACTATGCATATTTTTTACTGTTCGGATTGTATCGCAATGAAATCTAAAAATGAACCATTAAATTGAGAGAAAACTATTTATTTAGAGTTTTTCCCAATTCAATTGGAGTTTTGTGTAGACTAAAATTTCGTTTGCCACTCGTCAATGTTATGTTCTTAGGTGTTGGTGCAACATAAGTTTTTTAGCTTTTATTATTTAAAAAAATATAAAAATTAAAAAAAAAAATAGTGACATCAGTATTTTTTTGAATGGACTATAATTAATTATATGTATTTAACTCACAAGAGGTGGTTATACTAATTTAGAGCCAAAGCCATTAGATGGGTACCTGCAGATCAAATAGTGATATCAATATTAATTCCAAAACGAATTAGAATTTTAATATTAAATAACATAATTTTATTTGAATAAAATTTAATTTAAATTTTAAAATTTTATTTTATTAAATATTAATTCTTATATTTGAAATTTAAAAGCTTACAATATTAGATTAAACATTGATACATAAATTATATATTTTAACATAATTATCTTTAAATCTATGTATTAATATTTAATTTAATAAAATAAAATTTTAAATTTTAAATTGACTTTTTAAATTTCAAATATGAGAAGTAATATTTAATAAAGTAAAATTTTAAATTTTAATTAAATAAAATGATATTGTTAAAGATTGAGATTCTAAATTTTTTAAAGATTTTCGACTTATATGCACTTTTTCTTAAAAGTTAATGTAAATTAACAAAAATATATAAACAATTAATTAAAAATTAATTTTTTTGAACAAATCAAAATTAATTACATATATTTAAGTAAATAAAACATAAAAAAGTAGGACCCATGAAACTTGAACACACAATCCTCGAAAGGTGACCGCACTAACCCATGTCAAAACCATCAGATTAGAACCGTGCAGATCATTAATTAAAAATTAATTATTAATAATAGATTTACATTTTAAACGAGGTGAGGCAGATGAAAAAGACACGTCAAAGTTAAACGAAGCCCGAGCAATATTTGCATAAAATAAAGTCCACCACCCACCATGTGAAAACGCAGCGTTTTCAGTCAGAGTATTTGGCTCCGGAGAAAGTTGGCGATATCGTTTCTTTCCCCAAATTCCAAGCTTTCTCTGGTTTTCCCACTCCCCAGCACATGTAGGATTTCAAACCAGATCTGCTTACTAATACTACCATTTGCATCCCATTATTCCAAAAATTTTGGTGTCTTTTGATCTTCCACAGCAAGAAAATGGATCCCAATTCAGTTAAATCCACTTTGTCGAATTTAGCATTTGGGAATGTAATGGCGGCAGCTGCTCGTGATTACAAAAATGTCTCATCTCTTTCACTTTTTCTCCTCTTTACTTAATTATTTAGACAAGGCTGTGTTTTCTCTGTGCAAAACTGTAACTGGGTTTGTGACAAACTATGTCTATCACATACAATCTTGGTCTGGGTTAATACTGCAGAAGATATGCTCTAGTTTCTTTTTGCTGACAGCTACTGTAATAAATGGATGGAACTGAATGATGTTCATGAGTTCTTTTATGTTTGGTTGTTTCCCAGTTTTTTTTCTTTTTATTGGTCAGAGTTGTTTTACAGTTTTGCATTTCTGTTTTGGGGTGAAGAAATGGGTTTGACTTTGTGGTGTTATTTAGATACTGTAGATAATGATTGGGTAAGAATTTTGAAAATATTATGGGCCGGATCGTGTAACAATGTTTAAGATTGCAGTGTGTGATTGTTTGAGTTGGTTTTCAACTAGGCACTTGCGTTGTTATCAGTAATAGCTTGCAGCTAATGTATTCTGATAATGATCTTATAGGAACTTCTTGCCCAAAGAGGAGACACAGGCATCAAGTTCAAACAATGCTGAGGTTGACCTTGACGAGCTTATGGATGTAAGTGTGTTAAAAGGTTTTAAGTTGCTTCCTGAATTAATTGTTCCAAAAGCATTGATGCTCCTTTTACCATTACTCTGCCATGATATCTTTTTGTGTGGATTCATGTTTTCTCTACCAACAGGATCCTGAGTTGGAAAATTTGCATGCTAACAGGATTGCAGCTCTAAAGGTTAAAAATTCAATATCTCATGTGCCATTACTTGATATACTGCTAAGATCTGGATAGGCTTTCTGAAATTTGTAATCACACTAGGATTTATTTGAATAGAAAGAAGCAGAGAAGCGAGAAGCCTTAAAAAGGCAAGGACACGGAGAGTACAGGGAGGTATGTGAAGGAGATTTCTTGGGTGAGGTCACTGGGAGTGAGAAGGTGGTTTGTCACTTTTACCATAAGGAGTTCTACAGGTGCAAGTAAAGCTTCTCTCTCTTTCACATGCACACACACCCCTCTACATACCATGTGCATCACTGCATCTTAGTCCATATGTTGCAAGACTTACATGGTATTGTTGATGGGTAATCTAGAATAACGGATAAGCATTTGAAAGCCCTTGCACCAAAGCATATGGATACGAAGTTCATCAAGCTGGATGCTGAGGTGAGCATTAATGAGTTTGTTGTTTCTAGAATTCAGTATGGATTTCTCACATTTTACTCTGGTTGTTGTGACTAGTGATTCTATTATAAGCTTTAGATTCTGGTTTTATCTGGTGAATGCATAAATCTTGTATGTTATATGAGAGACTCATGTCATCTTTGTATGTAATATGGAGAATGCACCTTTCTTTGTTGCCAAACTTGAGTCAAAACGTTGCCTTGTGTCATATTTTTCAGGTCAGCAGTCTTTGTTGCTTTCTGTTTATTCTATTTTTTTTCTCATGTGTTCCTAAATGTATTAAGATGCCTATCTACATCGTGGCTTTGTTCCCTCCAGGTGAGGGGGATGACAAGAATTCTGGGAAGACATTTCTGAGTTTGTTTTCTAATCATCATGGTTATTACATTCCTGAGTTTGTTATCTATTTCCACTTTCAACCCAAGCATTAACAAGTAAAGAAGCAGTGGAATCCCCGGTGATAAACCCAGTCAAGCAAATGGAACATCAGCCAATATGAATATATATTTTGAGCAGTTTCTGTTAAATGCTGAAGTTAGAAAACATGTTTCGTTGATCATATTCAAATTGACAACATGGAATGTTACCCTGCAGAAAGGGAATCGCATTTGATGAGAGTGGTTGGCTTCCAAGACATCGGAGGAAAAGATGATTTCACCACCAAGACACTAGAGGTGCTACTGCTGAAGAAAGGTGTAATTAGTGAGAAGAAAGATGAGGAAGATGATGATTATCTTGAGAATGCACGCAGGACAGTAAGATCTTCTGCGAATCATGAGTCGGACATTGACTGAGCAGGGAAACAACTGCAGTTTTCCATCAAAGTTGTCAGTGGTTCTTGCAACTGTATGAATTTTCACAACCAATTTCCAGTTTGTTGTCTCGAGAAATTCATTTTTGCAAGAACTCATGTTTCATATTTTGTTTTTCATCACTACCACTTATTAATCTCCATTTTGAAACATCATTTAGTCGTATTTTTTATTAACATAGTTATTGCTTTCTACCTTGTTCAAGACAATTAAGAAACGAAAAAACATTCTTCAACTCTTGTGAGAAGGGATACGTATATTACGCTTAACCTTGCTGGTCTTATTTACGCTACATCAATTTGCCTTCTTCCCAATTTTCAGAACTGATTATGTAAAGATGAAACCTCAAGTGAAAATGAACATTAAATGAACATAAACTCAAGGATTAAACTTCAGAAATGAAATACATAAACTGTATTAAAATCACAGCACCAAACATACACACTGTTTCTAGGAAAAAACCTGAAACTTGTGACGGTTGCTAAAAACAAAGAAGTTACGGACTGCCAATATAAACTGCTACACCACTAAGCAAAATAAACAAAACTGCAACTGCCACCGCACAAGAACTAACATCACTAGTTAACAGACGTGATTTCATGCGTTAACAAGAACATCAATTGAAGCAGGGACTCTGCAACCAAAGTCTACACCGTATATATTCAGTGAAAAAACTTTTCGGCACTTCTACTCAGTCAATCCTTTGTCCCTCCCTTTCTTCACCTACTTCGTGTTGCGATCCTGACCCCAACCTCCCCCAATTTCCTTTTCCTTATTATCACTTTTCAAACTGTTTGCTTCTTCAATCTCAGCAACTTGCCCCCCAATTTCATCACATTCACTCTTCTCTTTAATGAATTTAAGAAGTTCTTGAAGAGCGACGTCAGCATCTTCACTCCTCATCAGTTCCCCTGCCACCTCTGCTGGGGTCACCTCCTTGCTCTCTATCAAGCTCTCGATTTCTCCGAACAGGGGATGGTTGCTGATGTCCAGGTAATTAGAAGCCAAGATCTTGAACGCATCAACCCTGCAATAGGACATGTTGACGTGCACGTCCATCCTGCCTGGACGCAGCAGTGCCGGGTCAAGCCTGTCCTTGTGGTTGGTCGTGAACACAATGACTCTCTCGCCCCCACAGCTTGACCACAGTCCATCAATTAAGTTCAATGTGCCAGATAGCGTTAACTGCATGGAGAAAAAACGGAGGAATTAGAGTCTCAAACATTATTGAAAGATTGAACGAAAGTAGTGGTCTTTAATCAAATTCAAACCCAAAAAAAGGACCCACCCTTTCGTAGGAATCATCGGATTCTGATTGAATTTTTCTGTCTTGAACCTGAATGCCGCAATCTATGTCCTCGATCACAAGAATTGACCTGCTGGTTGTTGATAACAAAAGTTCTCTCAATTCTGAATTTGATTTAATACTTGCAAGCTCCAGATCGTATATATGAAACTTGAGGTAATTGGCCATGGCAGCAATCAAACTCGATTTTCCAGTACCTGGAGGGCCGTACAACAAATACCCTCGTTTCCAGGCCTTCCCCACACTCTTGAAGAACGCCCTCCGGTTCAGGAACCTCTCCAAATCATCGATTATCATTTTCTTCTGCTCCGGAGGCATGGCTACGGTGTCGAATGTGGCTGGATGCTCAAGAATCGCGGAACTCCAGCGGGGTGGTTTACGAGAGCCAACACTATGGATTTTAACCACTTTGTTCTGCTCTTTGATTTGTTCAGCCCTGGCCAAAACATGAGGTAAATAAACGCCGACCACTTGATCTTTGAACTTATTGCGGAAACTGAGTACGAAGATTTTTTCCTCTGTAAATCCGTCCCGATTCTGTATGCGGTGACAGATATACCTCCATTTCAGCTGAATTTCCTCAAAAATATCTACGATCTCTTCACCATTAGCCATTGAGAGAGCGAAATTCTCTTCACTCTTGGTTTTGCTGAGCCTGAGCCGCTTTGTTTTGGGCCCGATCTTGGTGGGGAGATAGAGCTCGGCGGCGTCGTAGACTTCGTTTCTTGACATGTTGTCCCTTTCGTTGATAACGAGAGTGAGGTTGGTAGAGCAACAGTTGAAGAGGTAGTGAAAGAAGGATGAGAGGTAGTCAAGGAAGGAGAAGAAGTAAGATCTGAGCTTGTCAAGAATGACCTCGCTCGCCAAGGATCGGATGAGCATCAAGATTCCGGCTAAGGAGACGGAGGTGGAGAGAAATCTGAATGCAATGTCGAACGCCTCGAATGTGGAAAACATGGAGGCCATTTCTGATATGAGCAGATGTTGGAGAGGTGGGATGCTGACTATTGGGTGAGTCCCCCCAATTTATACTGTGGCAATGCCGAGTCGCTGCCTCGTCAACGCACGCTTCCCTAGGGATGGCAATTTCCTTCGCAGAGCTCTG